CATCTCCCGCGGGGATTCCTGCATTCGATTGGGGCCCTGTGCTCAGGGGCTCTCGCCCGCTCCCGATGCGGGGCCGCCAGAGCCCCCCCCCTCCTGGTCTCCTCGGGCGTGGCCCAGGGACGCCCCCTGGCTGAGACCATCTAGGCTCTTTGCATGGACATTTTTCTTTCGGGCCTGGCCTCTCCTCTTGGCTCTGCGTCGGCCCGTGCTCTGTGCCCTGCTCCTGAACATTGGCGTCTTGGGTTTGAACGTGAGTGCGGACCGACGGCGGACGACGCGGGCGCTGCCCCCCCTTCGATCGGCACCCTCCCTCCTCTCAAGCCTGCGTCCGACGCTGCCCGCCACCTCGCCCGCCTCACCCTTGAACCATCCAAGTGCTGCATCGTCCCGCTAGCCGACAGATGTGACTCTGAGCTCATCGACCGCACGCGTGCTGCTCTGTTCCACCTGGTGCCCGGAGGGAGGGGGGGCTTCCTGAATTCCTCGGCTTCCAACCTCGCTTGCATTCCAGTGGTTGAGCCCAGCTGCCACATGGAGAGAACGGACTCTTGAGGTGGCACTGAGCCGTGCACTAACCGAGGCGAGCGGCAGCGTGGGAATCATATCCTGGCCCCGATCAGCGAACCCTCGATCTTTCCGCGCGCTGGCAGGCAGCTATGCATGGCGAACGGCTGCTCGCACTTTTCGGCGGGGTGGCGATGGTGGGCGGGGTGTGAAGCTCTCGAGCTGCTCCGTTGCCATGCCGAGATGCACGGGTCTCTCAGGTGTCTGGCCGCAGGAGCGCTATCCCCGGAGATCTGGGAGCATAGCTGCTCGATCGCCGAATACCTTGAGCAGGTCCTCGAGGCCGCCCAACATCAGACAAGATGCCTGGGCCCCGGCAGTGACGGCGGCCAGAGCGGAGGTAGCTTCAGCCGCAGCGGAGGAGCGCCGCCCGCGCCCGCAGCGCATCCTCACCTTCTCCTTCGAGGCCTCCCTCTTTCCCGACTCTTTCCCGTGTATGATCATTCGCCGTCTTTCCTCCTGGTCTCCCCTTGGGTCGTTGCCGCCGGTTGCTGACATCGAGATCCGATGGGGGCGGCCCGCACGATCCTTACCCACTCCTCCTGCTTGGGCATGGGCCCATATCAAGGCATTCGCAGAAGCCTGGACGACATCCCAGAGAATCTCTAGTGCCGCATCTGTCCCGTGTCTATTCGGCTGCGAGGCCCCTGATTCGCTCGCCCATAATCGTTTTTGTCCCCGTCTCCTCCGCCTTCTCGCTCTCCCTCGTGGCTTCCTCCCCTCATGTCCTCTCGCTCGTCTTGCGTTCGGCTCCCACCCCGATCGCGAGATCGAACACCCCCGATTGCGATGCCATAGGATTTTGGTCGTGAACTTCATATTTTTCAGAAGCTCAAAACCGGACCTTGCGAGGCGCCCTCAGCGTGCGTCGCCACCTTCTCATTATCACGACATGATACGAGCTGCCGCATTGGCTGCCATGCGCTACTCCTCCTCCCCGCCTGGGTGGTCGTCCCCTCTCTGTTGCTCCCCTCCTGCCTCTCTCGCTGCTCCCCTCCCTTTCTCCTCGCCCCCTGGCTCCAGGCTCGTCCCTGGGTCCAGGACGCCGCTCCCCTTCCCCTTGCCCTCCTCTCTTACTTCTCCCGGGTCGTCCCCTCGGGGCTCTCGTGAAGCTCTGGCTGTTCTGTCGTGCCTCATGCAAGGGCTCCTCGTGCCACCCCGTGCGGCGGCCGGCGCGGGCGCGGGCGGTCGAGGCTGAAGGCCCAGGGTGGCCTCTGGGGGCCTCCTCGCAGCGAGTATTGTCACAGACGCAAGGATCGGCTGCTGGACCAAATCCTGCACCTCCTCCTGCGCTGGTGCCTCCTCCTCCGCCTCCTCCTCCTCCTCCTCCTCCTCCTCCTCCTCCTCCCCCTCCTCCATCTCCTCCTCCTCCTCCTCCTCCTCCTCCTCCTCCTCCTCCTGCTCCTCCGTTTTGCTCGGCCTAGCGTTGGTCCTCCTCTTCCTCCTCTTCCTCCTACTCCTCCTCCTCCTCCTCCTCCACCTCCTCGGCTGATGGACGAAGTCCTGCACCTGTGCCTCCTCCCACTTCTCTCCCTCCGGGAAGGGCTCCGGCCCAGGGTTCTCTTTTAGTTGGTTTACCCCCCAGCCCCGGCGGGAGGTGGGCCAGCGGAATTGTTTCGCGATCAATTACAAAGTAAAGTGTGAATTTGCAGTTGAACAAGTGCCTGTTTCGCGTGCCCGCTCGAGGAAAGTTTGCCCCACATCTCGGATCCTCGATCAATAACGGGGTCCGCAGACCACCGCTTTCTTTCGTGAAAGAGAGGGTGCGGCGCGTTTTGTGCGGAATCCGTGAGAAATCACAAGGTCTGGAGCTCCGACCAGGACACAACAAATGTATACATGTTGATTTTTTGCGTGCCCGCTCGAGGATGGCGCGTCCTGCGCGCAGAAATGCTGGGGATGTCTCAAGGGAAACGCTCGTTTGACAAAATTTGACGGGTCTGGGCGCTCAAGGATGCCCAGGGGGTTCTGGGAGCGCAAACCCAGCGTAATTTACAACGGATTGCGGCTTTGGGAGCGCGGACGCCGCTTAATTTACAAGGGATCTTGGCCTTGGGAACGCGGATGCCGCGTAATTTACTCGGGATCGTGGCCCTGGGAGTGCGGGGGCTGCGTAATTTTAACGTGTCCAGGCCACCCAGGGGGTATCTAACATGGTTGCCCCGAGCCAGGACCATGTGTTTTAACGTGTCCAGGACACCCGGGGGTGTATCTAACATGGTTGCTCAGAGCTGGATCCAAGTGTTTTTACGCGTCCAGGCCACCCAGTGGGGTATCGAACATGAATGTCCCGAACTGGAACCACGTGGTGTTACGTGTCCAGGCCGCCCAGGGTGCTATCTAACATGATTGTCCCGAGCTGGCACCACGTGTTTTTACGTGTCCAGGCCACCCAGGGGGATATCTAACATAGTTGTCCCGAGCAAGGATCACGTGTTTTAACGTGTCCAGGCCACCCAGGAGTGTATCTAACATGGCTGCCCAGAGCTGGTCCCACGTGTGTTTACCTGTCCAGGCCACCCAGGGGGATACCTAACATGGTTGTCCCGAGCTTGAACCATGTGTTTTTACGTGTCCAGGCCGCCCAGGGTGGTATCTAACATGATTGCCCCGAGCTGGCACCATGTGTTTCTACGTGTGCAGGCCACCCAGGGGGGGATATCTAACATAGTTGTCCCGAGCAAGGATCACGTGTCTTAACGTGTCCAGGCTACCGAGGGGTGTATCTAACATGGTTGCCCAGAGCTGGTCCCACGTGTGTTTTCGTGTCCAGGCCACCCAGGGGGTATCTAACATGATTGTCCCGAGTTGGAACCGCGTGGTGTTACGTGTCCAGGCCGCCCAGGGTGGTATCTAACAAGCAGGAACCAGGTGCTTTCACGTGTCCAGGCCACCTAGGGGGTATCTAACATGGGCCTCCTGGGGCCTTCATGGGGGCCTGGAACGGACGTCTGACATGAAGATGTGTAGAGGATTTCTCGAGCGAACCACTTGTTTTCCCTTCCAGTTCGCCCAGGCGGATTTCTAGCATGAGGTGGCACGTCCATCGGCACGTTCCATATCGCGTCCCCTTTGGCACGTCCCGCGGTGCGTCCCCATGGCACTTCCTTTGGCACGTCGCTTGGCGCGTCCCTTGGGACGTTCCGCGGCGCGTCCTCCTGCCATGTGCCCCCGTCAGTTAGCTCTGGGGGAGGTGCTATGTGCTCAGGCAGCTCGAGCTTAAAATCCAGATCATTTCGGTCAGGACTCGGATGCAAAGGAGGACTCAATCCACAACGCTATCGAGCACAATCGCGGCATGGCACATCGCAATTCAGCACGGCGCAGCACAGCACAGCCTTCGTCACAGTACATCAAGATCGATACATTCAGCATTGCGACTTGGCACGTTCCCTGGCACGTTCCGTGGCGCGTCCCGTGGCGAGTCCCCCTGGCACGTCGCGCGGCGCGTCCCCTGGCACGTCCCGTAGCACGTCCATTGTTGCCACGTTCCATAGCGCGTCCCCTTGGCACGTCCCGCGGTGCGTCCTCATGGCACGTCCCCTGGCACGGCGCCTGGCGCTTCCCTTGGGACGTTCCGCGGCGCGTCCTCCTGCCATGTGCCCCTGTCAGTTAGCTCTGGGGGAGGTACTATGTGCTCAGGCAGCTCGAGGTTAAGATCCAGATCATTTCGGTCAGGACTCGGATGCAAAGGAGGACTCAATCCACAACGCTATAGGGCACAATCTCGGCATGGCACATCGCAATTCAGCACGGCGCAGCACAGCACAGCCTTCGTCACGGTACATCAAGACCGATACATTCAGCATTGCATTTGCCCGTCGCCCAATCAAGTGTTTTTGAAGCGTTGCCATGCCTTACATTTCTACGTTCCTTTCCGGGTTCGTGGGGCGATCATTCGCCCCCTCTCTCGCACCCTTCTCTCACCAGACGGTGTGGGATGCCTCGGGCATTCTGCGTTTCGTTTGTTGGTTGCTGCGCAGCGCAAGAAACGGTTGATGGACGAAGTCCTGCACCGCCCGCGCGGCCAGGGTGCCGGCGCAAACTTCAACGCGCCCCCCTGCACCCGATGCAAAGTCGATTGGCATCGCCTGCGGGGCGCAGGATTTCGGCCAGTCGACAGATCGACACATCGTGGCGCAGCCCGCCAGTCTTAGAATGGGGGCGCGGAGTGTGTGATCATTAAGTCGGGCGTGTCCCTCTACAGGAGGAGTATTCAAAATAGTAAAAAAAAATTGTCTGGGGGCGATGGGTGACCATTTTCGATTATGTTTTGAATCCCGCTTGTGTATCTTGAATTGTTTCCTCCGAGATACGCCTGTCGGGGGACATGCCCGACCTAATGCTAACGCCAGCCGACATGAGAAGGTGCAGGTCTTTGTCCGTCAGCCGCGCTTCGCCCGCCCTCGAGCTCGCAGAGTGGCCGGCTCAGCGAGGCGCCTCTCGGACGCCCACTCCGTGAAGACGGTCCTGTACGACTGCTACGCGACCGCTGCCAACTCCGGCGAGACGCCCTCTCTGGAGGGATACGCGGTGCTACTCCCTTGCCCGTTTTCCCCTTTCTGGGCCTCCTGGGCGGCCCTCGTCGCCACCGCTGGATTCGCCTCGAAATCCTGGTCAGAGCGCACCCCGGGAGAGGTCCGTGGAGTAGCGGTATCGGTACCTTTTGGTCTCCCCCGGTACCGTTCGACTTGCGGTCAACCCGCACAGTAAGGATAAGCAATTTTCCGAGGTTGCCCTTGCATCCTTCCCATTCGGCCCATCCTGGGCCGCTTTCGCTGGCCGCGCCCCACAGCGTCGACATGGCCTGCCAAGTCCCGGGCGTCCTTATCGTGCGTCCTTCCTGTGCGGGTGGACTGTATCCCCCTTCCCACTGGAAAGGCCCTGGCCCCGCTGCCCGACCACCTCCCCCTCCGGGGTCTGGATCAGTGCCCTCTCCGCCGATTTCGGCGGCATCGGCCCCCACCTCGGAGCTCCCATCTCGAGGAGGCACAGTCAAGACGCCCTACGTAAGGACCACTTTGGGGCTCAGGAGGGGCTGAGGTTCCTTGGGTCGGGGAACCTACCAGGAGCCGAGGTTCGCCGTGGCTGGAAAAGCCCTTTCGTTCCCTATTCGGCCCTCCTTCTGGTAGGACGCTGACTGTATGCTGGTGACGCCAAGCAGCCCTGGCCCGCCGGGGAGGGGTACGGGCCCGTCGATGCCGAGGTGCCCTTCGAGCGCCGCGACGTCTGCATCTCCGGGTCCGCCGCGGAGCGGGACGGCAGGCGCTTCGAGACGATCTCCTCGCACCTGGCGCCGCGCGGGCCGCGCGGCACACTGGTCAAGGTAGACGTTGAAGGCGACGAGTGGGATGCCCTGCGGGTCTTATCCGACGAGGATCTGCGCAAGATTGACCTCCTCGACGTGCAGTTCTACATCTGCAAGCCCCCGTTCGACGTCGACGTCTGGAGGGAGCGTGTGCGGACCGTGGAGCGGCTCTCGAAGAACAAACATAACGGCATCAACATGACATGTCGGAGGTCCGCGCAGATTTCTTGTGTCCGTGCTGCACCCCTCTGGCGGCGCCTCCAGCGGCGTCCGTGGCGCGCTAAGCGCGCCAGGGAGGGGGGTCCAGCGACGACCCATACAACACGCGCCAGTTTCCAAAAGTTTCTTTCCACATATGTTTACGCAGCTCTGCGTTCCCCGAGGCTCGCCGCCTTTTTTGCCGTGGCCGCCCGGACCCCGGAGCAGGCCGCGGAGTTCCGGGGCAGGAGGGACGAGGCCTTCTGCCGTGATTTCCCGACCTTCAGCGTCAGCTACGCGAGCAGGGAGCGGGTGAGGGAGGTGTTCGCGGGCGACTAGCGCCAGGCCCCCGTGCCGGCCCGACGGCCGCGGAACCCGCCCTCCGGACAGGCCGCCCGCGCGGCGCAAGAGGCGGGGATGCCTCCCCTCGCTCGCAGGCTCGCTCGGCCCGTTTCTCTGCGGCATGCCGGGCCTTACCAGCCTGGAGCATTTCCCTGCTCCTATGTGTGGCATCGCCTCCTCTCGAGGCCGATCGTAAGGATTCCCTCGTGTGTCGGAGGGAGCATTCCTGAGACTGTCATCGCCTTTTGGCTTGTCGATCTTACAGGGGTAGGGATCAGTTCGAGGATCCTTGCGTCCCCTCGCCACCGGGGGGGTCGCCGCCGCCTCGAGGAGGAGGCCCCTCAGGACCCCTAAGCCTCGCCAGACCGCCCAAAACGCTCGAGATCCTCGGTCCTCGACCCTCGATCCTCAGGATCTGCGACCACCCCTGCGGGTCCAATCGACGCTGGGGTATCGGACACCCCCGCTGAGGTTCACTTGGCTGCAGGCATCCTTCGAATGCTGAATCCCAGCCGGTGGCTCAGAAATCTTACCTGCAGGGTCGAGTTCACATGCGGCTGCCTACGGGAGGCGCTGGCGACCCCCCAGTGGTGGCCCCCTTGGCATTGCTTGATGCCCCTCCCCTGCAGTCGTTTTTGGCCCAAGGGCCGCGCCGCGGAGGGCCGCCCGACGTGCGGGCGCTGGCAGCGCAGCGGGGCAAAGAGGCGCGGCCGGGGCTTGCGGAGCAGATAGGCGCGCCATCCTCCGCGCGGCCCTGGGCTTGCTGCTCCATGCCCGAAGGCCTGCCGCCGCCTCCGGGCAGCCCTGCGGCGGCTGCGGCATGCCTGGGGCCAGGCACGCGCTCGGACGGCGCCGCTGCAGCGTCGGCTGCAGCGGCCCTGCTCGACCATGCCGCCACACGGTCCGTGCAGAGCCTCGGGGACTTCCGGGAGCGGGCGCGCAGCGGCTCCGCGGAGCGCAGCGCGCCGTCGAGTTTGGCGGGGGATGCCCGGGCCAGCTTCCAACGCGGGCCAGCCGGCTGCGCAGCGCTCGGCTCGCCCGCCAGGGAGGCTGACGCGACCCAGGGCACCGCCTACTTTGCCCTGTCGCCGCCACGGAGCTCGCCCCTGCGCGAGCCTCGCGGTGCGCCGGCGCCCGAGCGGCTGCCGCCCCGACGCGGCCCCCCGGAGGGCGCCGCAGAGGTCGACCGGCGGCGGCCTGCCGTGGCCGCGGCCCTGGCGCAGCCGCCGTCCCGCGGCTGCGACGGTGCTCCGCAGCCGCGCGTGGCCGAACCCCTGGGCGAGGCTGCCGCAGAGCCCTCGGCGAGGTGTGGCGGCGCGGCGAGAGAGCCGCTGGCCCTCGCGCCGGGCACCGTCGCGCCGGGCGGCGGCGCGAGCTGCAGGGCGGACGAGGACGAGCTGGAGCGGCGCCTGCGCTCGATGGACGAGCGGGGCCGGGCGCTGCGGCTGCAGGCACAGCTCGGCGCCCGCGCGCCGCCTGCAGCGCCGAGGCCGCTCTCGGCCTGCCAGACCGCGTCACCCGGCCGCGGCGCCAGCCAGAGCTCAGGGCCCTACATTCGCAGCGCGTCCACGGGGTCCCCACCCGCCCACAGAACGGGCAGCGCGGAGGGCACGGCCACGCCGGGTGTCCCCGCGAGTTGCGGCGCGCAGGTGCCAGAGACCCTTGGCGCTGTCGCTGCCGACCGCCTCGGCGACAGCGGGCGGGGCCACGCCGTCTCCAGCCTGGCAGGTGCGGCCGCTGCGGCTGCAGCGGCCGCCGCAGCAGCTGCCGCAGCCGCGGCTCCGAACGAGGCTGTGGCCGCGAGGCGGCTCGGCCGCTCCTTCGCGGCCGAGTGCGAGCCGAGCCTCCCAGAGTGGTCGCTGACGAGCTTCAACGGAAGCCTCTTTGGCACGGAGCTTGCCTCCATTGCCTCGGCAGCCGGCGACACTCGCAGCGCTGTGGCAGACGGCGCTCCACGCTGGCCGCTCTCGCGCTCGCCGCTAGCCTGCTCCGCGTCCTGGGGCGACCCCTGCCGCGCGCCCACCAACAGCTCGACGGCTCAGGGCGGCGGCTGTGGCTGGGCGCCTGGGCTCTCCAGGTCGTCCTCCGCTGGCTCCCTGTGCACCGCCTGCCACAGGAGGCCACTCTGCGCGAGCCTCCAGCCGGGCCGCCTCTGCCAGCCCAGCCCCTCGCGCGGACCGCCGCGCCGGCCGCCCTCGGCGGACCGCGAAGGGCGCTGTCACGAGCCCCAGTCGCCACCGCTGTCGGAGCGGCGCTGGGCCACCGCCATCGCCCCTGTCGGGCTGCGCGCAGACGCGCGGCTCCAGGGCCAGGGTCCCACGAAGAGGCTCCCTGCGAGCGCGGCTGCCCCAGTGCGGCGCGCCCCGGCGCTCGCGTGAGCCGCCGCCCGCAGCCCGCTTCCGCTGTTTCTCCAGGGGGGCGGGCATGCAGAGAAGGGGCACGTCTGGAGAGCTGAAGGCCTCCCCCTCCTCCTTCTCCTCCTCCTCCTTCTCATCCTCCTCATCCTCCTCATGCTTCTCCTCCTCCTCCTCCTCCTCCTGCTCCTCCTCCTCCTCCTCCTCCTCCTCCTCCTCCTCCTCCTCCTCCTCCTCCTCCTCCTCCTCCTCCTCCTCCTCCTCCTCCTCCTCCTCCTCCTCCTCCTCCTCCCCCAGTGAGCCAGGGGACCTCTGGCAACACCCGGGAAGAGCGAGGAGGAGCGGTTAGGGCGGCGGTGCGAAACAGGAGGGCGGGGGGACGGAAGGGACAGGAGCCTTTCCCTTTCCCTCCTCAGCTCCTCTCTCCCTCATCCTCTCCCCTCCTTCCTCCCTCCCTCCCTCCCTCCTCCTTCTCCTCCGCCCTTCTCCCTCGGTGGATATCATGGCGGGGGCGGCCATGATATCTTCCCGGATCGCATGGCCCTTTGTCTCAGTCCAAGGCGTCCCGCTGGTCCCTCCCTCGTCTGCGCACAGGCCTCGGGCCATGAGTTGCGACCACCCCCTATTGGACGCCCCCCCCCCTTGGACGCCCCCTCCCCCCCTCCGCCGGCGTCGGCCCTGGGCGCGTCGCTGTCGCTGGAGCACCTTGGGCGCCGGCTCCTCGGGATCTGCCGCGCCGCCCGCCACGAAAAGGTCGGCTCAACGAGCGGTGCCGTCGCACTGCCGCCCCCTGCGCTGCCAACATCGGGTGTGGCGCCCGGCCAAAGCTCCCAGAGGTTGCCAGAACCCCCGCCCAGACGAGTCGACTGAGGAAACCTGCGCCCGTTCACTCGACATGGGCATTCGAGTGTACCGGTGCAGTCCTTGATCGGTTTCGGCATTCGACGTGTGTGTTGCCGGATGCATTCGCTTGTGTCTGGACGTCATTAGGTGCCCCGCTGAGGCCCACTCGGAATGCGGTGCCGTGTGCATGTTGAGTGCCCCTGGCAGCTTTCACTAAAGGGCGTTCTCTTAGATGGCGTTCTGTCAATCCTCGAAGCTTGGCGACGCGCAACAGTCGGCTACGCGTAACAGCGACCTTCTGCCGCGGTGACCCTTGGTTCGCCATGAAGCAAGCCGGCCCTGAGGCTTTTCGCCGCTTTGGGCTCCCTGTGGCCCTCCACATGCCCCAGGACTGTCAGAGAGTTGCTCAGGGTGAAGACTTGGTCCTGAGGGACGGCCCTAGGGTCAGGGCCCGTTTCCTACAATACCCGCCCCCTTCATGCCAATCGGTTCGGGCCCACAGGGGGTCCCACCAGCAGCACCCTGCGCGATTGTATTGCTTGGATTTGGCCTCCCCCGCGGCCCCCTTCATCCGCGCACCAAAGGTCATTCTTGGTTAGGGTCACTCTTGCGCGCAGTCGACAAAGGGGGGTTCGAGTGTGAAGGGGGCGGCCTTCTCAGAAGGCCCTCCCGCCCCCAAGGCGTTGGACGGCCGGTCCCTTCTGAGAAGCCCCCTGCCCTGCCGTGCCCGAAAGGCCACCCTTCTCCCTCGCCCCGCCCCCCAGGCTCCAGTGATAAGGCCGAGGAGGGGGGAGGGGAGGGGACACGGGGAACGGAGGGATGCGTCTGTGATTCGAAGGCGGCAGGACCAGACCAACCAGTATATGGCTTTTCCACGTTTGGTCCGGGACTTGGCCCCTCGAGGAAAGCCCCTGACCGAGCCCAGACCACCCTCTCAGCCTTGCTCTGGTTAGGGTTTCCTTTCTCCTTGCTCGACGTCAACCTTCCGAGCCTCCTTCGCGTTTCAGCCCAGCCTGATGTTCCCGCAGAGGCGACGTGGGGCCCGGCCACGGTCGACCAGACCCCCTCGCACCCACGCCGAGGTTGGAGCATAACAGGGGGCGTTCCAAAACGTGCCTTGTCTTCGGAGAAAATCGCCGTTGGCGGAAGCTGGCAGACGGTGTCGGAAGTAAAAGGTGAGATGTCAACATCTTTGGACGTAGATTTTCTGGAGTCGGCCATGCCGCCATGCCAGGCTTCACACATGTGCATTAAACAGTCGGTAGTTGGTGCAAGGGCTCAAGCTTTGAGTCGACGAACTTCAGTTTTGAAAACTTGCAAGCTCACGTGTCGCCGTCAGACCTGGCAAAGTACCGCGTCTCCGTGGCGCAGTCACGCTCGTTGTAGAAGCGACAGCAGGTGGACTTGCTGCAACAAATACAGTGTTGATATTGATCATGGCTTCTGCGGTCATGCTTGCATGTATTGACGTTGGTTGATGCTGTGCATCCAGTTGTTTCTGGCCTGTGCGCTCCAGACGGCAAGTTCTACACAGTCTATGAAAGCACAGTCACGCACGGCGACCTTTTCTGGAGTCTTGGTTATGACGCTCTGCTTGTATTCGCCAGCTGGCCTGCCAGACAACTCATGCTGCTGTACACCGCTGCCCTTACGCATCAATTGTGGAGAGAAAAGCCACGTAACATGACAATCAGGGGCACCTGAATGTTTTGCTGCACAGTCAGTGCAGCCGAAGAGGAGCCTCGCAAAAAGGAGTTCCGCGAGGCATGTGCCGACTAGAAGTTTTGGCGTAGCTCTCAA